AGAAAGGGAGAGGCCAGAGCTTGAGCCAGAGTGGCAGAGGATTTTGGAAGAGGAATGAAGAAAGAAGAGAGGGATATAGGAAGAACCATTCTTATGTGAACTGAGGATTTACTCTGATATTGCAATTTGCTGCATCTCCTCTGAGTTAATCTTCTCTGGAGTCCTTTTTGGTATTAACTTCAAATACCAAATAATTGAATAAAATCCTGAATGTCAACAAAAATCTAATTTTTTTCTGCAACAAACATATATTGTATTATTGAGCCTAAAGGAGCTAAATACCAAGCCAAAAATAGCATTCAAAATACATACAGCCCTCTATCTGGAAGCTCTGTATCTGCAAATTCAACTAACTTGGGATGAAACCATTCAGAAACAAAAATTACATCTGTACTGAACATGTACAGACTTTTTTTCCTTCTTATTATTCCCTGAACAATGCCATATAGCAAATATTCACATAGCATTTAGGTTGTATTAGATTCCATAAGTAATCTAGAGATGATTTAAAGTATACAAGAGGATTGCATAGGTTATATGCAAATACTACTGCATTTTATATAAAGAAATTGAGCATCTGTGAATTTTAGATATCCTGGAACCAATTCATGGTGGATTCAGAGAGAGGGTTTTTTTCCACCTACATATTTCTCAGGTAACAGATGTAGTTACATCCCAAGGCTTACTAAAAGGACTAAATATGTTTTACTTTACTAAAAGAAAAAAATTAATTGGAAGCTTCCATTTTTAATGAAAAGCATGTGAAAAAGGAAAGAAAACCAATCATAAAATACAGGTAGTATTTAGATCCTAGAGAAAATAGGTACATTTTATTTGTTTTTAAATATATTACACAAAGAGATTACCTAACTGGAAAGCACAATTTAGTAAATGTGGCAGAGAAGCAATATCCTTTTCAGTGTTAGTACCGCTACTGGTGTGATGTAACATCAGCAGATTACTCAGACCCATGTGTGTTGGATTTCCTAGTTCAGTCATGAAAATAAACACAAGATTCAGGTATCAGGGAAAAATGAATTGCATTTCCCTTCTCATTGATGTTGCAATTATTTGTTCTTCACAGTAATGTTTGGGGGTGGGGGGTGTGCTGCAAGTGGACATGAGAGCTACTCCTATTTCCAGGAAATCACATGCACCAGCATAAGATGAAGTGCTTTTCTGCAACAGCTACACTCAAATGCTTGTGGATATTTTTCCAGCAGTGTAGACAGATGGTGCTTATACTGACCTTATACTGACCAATCATTTCCAAATTCTATTTAAGAATTACAAAGAATGTTAATAGATGCACAAGAAAAACAAAATATACAATTGATAAGGTCCAAAGACTTAAAGAAAATCCAAATGGTTTCTTTGCTACCTTAATAAGTTAATGTACATAAAAACTCTCTATCATGAAGTGTTTTGTAAACATTTTTGGAAACTTTTTTTTTTATCTCAAAGCATCTTAAAGAGAAAATGTACTTTGCTCTTTCACTCGTGTCAAAAAAAAAAAAAAAAAAAAAGCCCTTTCTAGCACAACTTTGACTCTGTTACTTCCCTAGGTAAAATCTGTCCACAGCTTAACATACTTTAGGAAATTATAAGGATATAGCATAGAATTCTGGCTCTGGCTCTGTCTGAATCTGCAGCCTGCCCATTAATTCCTCCCAGTTATGTGGAGTGTTCTCAGTGTGGCCTTCTGCAGTCTTTCTGCCACCTGTCGGCCCCTCAAGGCTTGGTCAGGGAGGGGTCCTCCCACTCATAGGCCCTGACTCTCATGTCAGTTGGTCCTATCCTCTCTTGGCTCCTGGAATAAGGGCCTCCATCACAGCACAGTTCTCATGACTGTTCACTCTGGCAGGCACTGTAAAATTTTTTATTGAGGAAATGGATGAATAAAGGAAAAGCTTCACCCAGCAGGAGCCATGGGATCTGGAAGGCATAGTTTCATGTCAATGTAATAACAAACACTTTGCTATTCAACTCTCAGTTTTCCATGTGATATAGTATGCACCCTGTTTAAATCACTAGAGAACAAGCCAAAACTCTACTCATTTATGGTAAAGAGAGACTTTCACTTTTATTTTTAATTCTATTAGAATTATAAATAACCTTGGCTGTCCCTATGGCTCAATAGGCTAATCCTCTGCTGGCACACCAGGTTCTAGTCCCGGTCAGGGTGCCGGATTCTGTCCCGGTTGCCCCTCTTCCAGGCCAGCTCTCTGCTGTGGCCAGGGAGTGCAGTGGAGGATGGCCCAAGTGCTTGGGCCCTGCACCCCATGGAAGACCAGGAGAAGCACCTGGCTCTTGGCCTCGGATCAGCACGGTGTGCTGGCGGCAGCGCGCTGGCCGCGGCGGCCATTGGAAGGTGAACCAACGATAAAGGAAGACCTTTCTCTCTGTCTCTCTCTCTCACTGTCCACTCTGCCTGTCAAAAAAAAAAATAATTATAAATAACCTACAGCATAAATCTACATACATATATTTTAACACCCACTACTGTCGCATTCTTCTATGAATCTACTTTCCTCTTACTAGTAGCATCCTAATTAGTGAGAAGTTTATTTTTTCCAGAATTATAGAAATGCTTTTTTTAAAATATTAATTTATTTATTTGAGAGGTAGAGTTACAGGCAGGGAGAGGGAGAAACAGAGAGAAAGGTCTTCCATCCATTGGTTTACTCCCCAAATGACTTCAATGGCTGGAGCTAAAATCTGAAGCCAGGAGCCAGGAGCTTCTCCTGGGACTCCCACGCAGGTGCACAGGTCCAAGCAGTTGGGCCATCTTCTACTGCTTTCCCAGTCCATAGCAGAGAGCTGGATTGGAAGAGGAGCAGCCAAGACACAAACTGTCTCCCATATGGGATGCCAGTGCCACAGGTGGAGGCTTAGCCCGCTAAACCACGGTGCCAGCCCCTATACAATTGTTTTTAAGAGACCAAAAGAAAAATTACTCCAAGATGAAAAGTCAGACAATGGTAGAATAATACATGGATACCTTAAGAAGCAGGCTAAACCATCTGAATGGGTATCTAGGTTCATGATTTAGGAACTTGGTAAGTGGTCTGTTCAAATGATCTAGTACTGCCAGCAACCTGTGACTCCATGCCTGTATAAGTCTCCATATCCTACAGGCTCCATAACTTCACTCCACCCAGGACCAAGTGCTGATGCTGAAGCCTCCTCGGGGCTGCCAACACCACTACCCACTTACAGCACAAGTGACAGACTTTGTGCTACCACTCCCAACTGAAAGAAGCAAGAAAAAAGAGCCACAATAATTTTCTTGCTCATCTGGTTGTTTTTGTGTTCCTTTCAATTTAATATAATTTCAACTTAAGACATATCCTAACTTGCTAGTTGTATAGATATTAAAAAGCAGCCTTTCAGGGCTAGCATCATAGCATAGCAGGTAAACCCACCACCTGCAACACCAGCATCCCATGTGGGGCAGATTCGAGTCTCAGATGCTCCACTTCCACTCTACCTCCCCATTAATAGCCTAGGAAAAGCAGCAGAAGATGGCCCAAGTGAATGAGTCACTGCACCCATGTGGGAGACCTGGAAGAAGCTCCTGGCTCCTGGCTTCCACATGGTCCATGCAATGGGAGTGAACAAATGGAAAATGGAGAAAGGATCTTTCTTTCCCTTGCGCCCAAGCAGTTCTGACTTTCAAATAAATAAATACTTTTTTAAAAACAAGTAGCATTCTATTTTGAGTGATCACCCATATAGTGTGTTTCCCTTCAAAAAAAATCATATCATTATATCATTCCCATCTAGCCCAAAAAGTTGAGAATTAGAGTCAAGATAAGATTTGTCTTATTGGAAAATTCTATCAGATTTTGACCTTATTTAATATAATGTTTACATTCAAATTTCACTTGATTCCACTCCCTTGATATCCACACAGTCACACAATTATGAATGTTCTAGGTATCTAAAGGATCAAATTGGAAAAAAAGGAGTGTGCCCTTGATGATCGGGTCATCTACTTCACAGTTTAGGTTAATGGTAAAACTGGTTTGAATAACACAGCTGCAAAACAGATTTGAAACTGTTATGATACAATGAAGTTACAGTCAACAAGCCATGCTAAAACATGAAGGTCTAAAACACCTACATTCAATGCCTGTGACTGCTGTAACAAACAGCTTATTCTGTCACAGTTCCGGCAGTCAGAAGTCTGAAATCAAAATGTGTGCAGGGCCACACTCCCTTTGGAAGTTCTGCATAGCAATTCTCCCTGGCCTCATCTGCCTTCAGGTGGTAGCTGGCATCCCTTGGCTCACAGCTACATCACTCCCATCTCTTGCCTCCATCTTCAGATAACTTCCTGGGTCCATCTCCAGTCTCCCTCTGCCTCTCTCATAAGAACACATATTTCTGTGTTTGGGCTCACTGGATAATCCAGGATTGCCTCCTCATGTCAAGATCCTTGACTTAAGCACATCTATAACAACCCTTTTTTCCAAATAAGGTAACCTCACAGGTTTCAGGGATTGTGATATGGATATCTTGAAGTGGCAAGACCTACATTTTTTCAGCCTATCACAGCATTTCTGAGTGTGACTTTAAAAATCCTGAGTGATGTTTTAACTGAGAAAATTTTGGTTTACCTTAGAACTGGCAAAATACAGAAAATGAGAGTTTAATCAATGTACACAAGGAAAAGACCATAAGTATTTAATATTGTGTTTAGAGTCATGCCCACAGGCTGTTCCATATTTTACAGCCAAACCCAATCTGTTTCTTTCATTGCAATTTGTCTGAATTGTCACAAGACTGGGAACTATGTAGTCTGTAACTCTGGGAGCTTTCTAAAACACTATGAATCAACTTTTTAACACATTTAGACCTAATTAATTGAGTCTATTTTGCAGGAGAGGGTCTTGATATGATATAAAGAATGTATAACAAGTTGTTCTCCATCAAACCCCTCCCATAGTTACTCCAAAATCCCCTCCAGTTTACTTCCAATGTTGCATATGATCATCATGTTTATGTGCGCTACTATTAAAAATATAGAAAAGTACTGGTATAAACAGGAAAACGGGCTAGCAAAAGGTCCTGATGGAACATCTACATTACAAGAGAAGAGACACAGAGAGAGCAGGTATCTGGCATTTGGGAGACAGGCCCCTCCCCATAAGGTGGAGAATTCTCTACAGGAAGAGAGGTTAGAGGCCATGCTGCCAAAAACAGGTGATAATTCTCCACGACAGCTCCACAGTGTCCCATGTCACTGGAAAGTGAAGACTGAAAACTATCCACCAGATTTGTAATTGGAAAGCACTAGGAATACCAGCAAGCTCAGTTCCAGTGGACTGACAGGGCCACTAAGCAGTAGCTGAGAAGGGAGGAATGGAAGACACAGAAAGAATACACTGTTCTTTAGGTTATTTTCCATGGTAAGCAAAGAAAATAGTGGAAGGTGGCAGGAAACCTGCTGAGAGGTGTCAGACTTGAGTGCGCTTTACCTGAAAGGTAAATAGCCAGGCTGGAAGGAGAGAACAGAGATGCATACATCAGTAACTGCAGAGGAAGGCATGTGCTTGGCTAAAGCTTTGGAAGAGATCAGAGAAGTTCACCCAGGTGAAATGCTTGGTTTTGGAGCAATGTGCCCTGGGTAAAAAGAGGGCAAGAAAAAATGTGGCTAATCATTTTAGCAATCAGAAATCAAGAAGTTAAGGCCGGTTCCGCGGTTCAATAGGCTAATCCTCCGCCTGTGGTGCCGGCACCCTGGGTTCTAGTCCCAGTCGGGGCGCCAATCCTGTCCCGGTTGCCCCTCTTCCAGTCCAGCTCTCTGCTGTGGCCCAGGAGTGCAGTGGAGGATGGCCCAAGCGCTTGGGCCCTGCACCTGCATGGGAGACCAGGAGAAGCACATGGCTCCTGGCTTCAGATCAGCATGGTGCGCCGACTGCAGCATGCTGGCCACAGCGACCATTGGAGGGTGAACCAACGGTAAAGGAAGACCTTTCTCCCTGTCTCTCTCTCTCTCTCACTGTCCACTCTGCCTGTGAAAAGAAGAAGAAGAAGATGATGAAGACGAAGAAGCTGTTGAGGTGGCTCTGCTGAAATATCTCTTTCTCCTCTTTCCCAGAGACATAGATTGAAGCGTAGTAGAAATGAGAAAAGACCACTGGGTTTGGCAACTGGAAGGTCATTTGCCCTTTTGCAAGGGAAGTTTAATGTTGCATGCAACCAACAGTATTTATCACCCTGGTGAATGGAGGAGCAGAATTGACCACCCTGTACAGAAGACATGGAGTCTGGATTTAGTTTTTCATTAAATGAACTTTTTGTTTTCCCAAAATGAAAGAATCAGATGAAATGATGGCTAAGACCATATCCAACAGTTACATGTTTTATCTACTGTATCCAAGGCACAGAACTAGCCATGGCATAAAATATAAAAATCCAGTAAGAGGCAGGTATTGGACCTTCAAGAACATAGTAAAATCCAGAAGCAAACAGTTCCTGCTAAAATGCCATCCTGGAGTGCTCCTTCCTGAGTCAAGGTCAGATGTCAAGAGGAAAGCATAACAATTTATGTTTCAAAGGGGGTAATGTGACTAATTCTTGATATGATTTTTTTAAAAATTTCTCAGTGTCAAACTTAGCCTGAAAAATGTCAGGATCTTTGACTACCTGATAGCTATTTTTCAACACAAGAAGTGTGAGAAACAGGGAGCCACAAACTTAGGAGTTTAACTTAGTGGACAAATTTAATTTGAAGACTATGGCACATCGTGAGTTAGCCCCATGAGATAGTTTAGCACAACACACTGCATGAGAAGTTGGGACTGCACATGATATCTTTTTTAATACAAAATTGCCTCTGCCAACTTTTTTTATATTTATTTATTTGACAGGTAGAGTTACAGACAATGAGAGAGAGAGAGAGAGAGAGAGAGAGAGAGAAAGGTCTTCTTTCCGTTGCTTCACCCACCAAATGGCTGCCACGGCTGGCGCTGTGCTGATCCGAAGCCAGGAGCCAGGTGCTTCCTCCTGGTCTCCCATGGTGCACAGGGCCCAAGCACTTGGGCCATCCTCCACTGCCTTCCCAGGCCACAGCAGAGAGCTGGACTGGAAGAGGAGCAACTGGGACTAGAACTCGGTGCCCATATGGGATGCCGGCGCTGCAGGTGGAGGATTAGCCAAGTGAGCCATGGTGCCAGGCCCACTTCTGCCAACTTTTGAGCTAAAGGAACAGAAAATCTAAGCACAGACAATGAAAACTGTACAAATGTAAAATTTAGAAAGATTTATTATTTTGTTTGATACATCTTACTGTCAACATGTTTATTCTAGTGGGTTTTCTTATTCTATCTTATTCAGAATTTCTAGCTGTCTGTTTGTGCATTGATTTTACACCTCCCACCACGAGGCTGAATAACACTGACATGCATCCTCCTATGCTCTAAAATGATGCAGTGTGAGTAGGAGGACATTTCTATTGATTTAATCTCCATGAATGTGCTCACATGGTTAATTTGTTCAGTTCCAAGTTTTTGGTATCTTGTCACTACTTCTGAATATACTGATGTCTGCCATGAGTTCCTTTTCCCAAAAAGAATCCTTGACTCTGATTAAATTGAAGGTGTCACCAAGCCAAAAAAAAAAAAAAAAAGGCCTACTTGGAGTAATAATTCCTCAGGTCTCTCAATATCACTTTGATTCATTGTTATCAGAACCAAACCACCAACCATCAACAACTAACCATCCTATTAGTTAGAATGTGGTCACTCATCTCCTCTTCTCTTGGAAGCACCTGCCCCTCTGTGTGATGTCTCTGTCCTGCCCTCCTGGGAGAGATGGCATTGCTTCCTTTTTTCACTGCCACATCTGATTGTGTTGCATGAGAGGCAACTGGGCAGCCCCTTGATTGTGGGATTTAGGGTTCAGGAGACCTGGCTACAACCCTTCTCCTGCCACTTACTGATCTTTAACATTTAGCAATCACTTCATCAGAAGTGGAATATAAAAGGATTAATAAAACCGCCCATTCTGAAAGCAATGTAGGGATGCAGTGAAGAGGAAAAGGAAACAATTGACATGAAAGCACTTTGCAAACCTCTGTATGACATGTGGTGGGAGAGAAGACAACACAAAGCAACTTTCCCAATGACCTGGTACTGCAGAAGCCAATGTGCTGTTCTGCCTGAGTCTAGGAAAGAACACACTTGTGAGGTGTACGGGAGCTAGTGCCAGCTCTGCTGCTGGCAAGCCTGTCCTTACACTAGTGTGTCCCAGTGTGGGGCTCACTGGCACTTCGGCTGGATATTTTAGTAATCTCAAATCAGTATTCTTGGGGCTAGCGCTGTGGCACAACGGGTAAAGTCGCTGCCTGAAGTGCCGGCATCCCATATGGGCGCCGGTTCAAGTTCCGGCTGCTTCACTTCTGATCTAGCTCTCTGCTATGGCCTGGGAAAGCAGTAGAAGATGGCCCAAGTCCTTGGGACCCTGCACCCTTGTCGGAGACCAGAAAGAAGTTCCTGGCTCCTGGCTTCGGATTGGTGCAGCTCCGTTCGTTGCGGCCAATTGGGGAGTGAACCAGCAGATGGAAGACCTGTCTCTCTCTCTCTGCCTCTCCTTCTCTCTCTGTATAACTCTGACTTTCAAATAAATAAAATAAAATAAATTAAAATAAAATAAATTTTTTTTAAAAAATGATCATCTTTTTAAAAATCGCTATCCTGGAGCTTTTTCTTTCAGGATTATAAAAATTGGAATAGGAGTTGCTTCCCCCCCTTCAAAGAATACAAACTTCATGCATTTCATAAGTACAACTTCAGGAATGTAGTGATTTTTCCCACCATACCTGCCCTCCCACCCACTCTCCCACCCCTCTTCCTTTTCCCTCTCCCATTCCTAGTTCCATTCTCCACTAAGATCCATTTTCAATTAACTTTATACACAGAAGAGTAACTCTATACTAAGTAAAGAGTTCAACAATTCGCATGAAACCAAAATAAAACAAAAAAACACTGTTCCTCAACAGTTGAGACAAGGGCTGTTCAAAGTCTGCATCTTGAAGTTAATTTCACTTTTTTTTTTTTTTAGAAACTTAATTAACTTTAGAGAAGCACCCCAGAATGACACATCTTTTGCAAGCACTAAAATATAGGTATAATACAACTCTGCAGACAGAGGTCCTGCATGAGAAGTTAGTGCCTAGTAACTCCTATTGTTAATTTAACAATTCACACTCTTACATATGATGTCAGTGATCACCTAAGGCTCTCAACATAAGCTGCCTAGGATATGGAAGCCTTTTGAATCCACAAACCCTGTTAGTATTTAGACAAGGCCATAAGCAAAGTAGAAGTTCTCTCCTCCCTTCAGAGAAAACTACCTTCTTCTTTGATGAACAGGGGTCACTTTAAATAGACCTTTATCCTCTATATAACAAGACAGACACTGTTATAAGGAATCATTCAATAATTCCTGTGTAAGAAGTCGTTATCAAATCAAAATATGACACAATCGCCCGGCGCCACGGCCCACTAGGCTAATCCTCCGCCTAGCGGCGCCGGCACACCGGGTTCTAGTCCCGGTTGGGGCGCCGGATTCTGTCCCGGTTGCCCCTCTTCCAGGCCAGCTCTCTGCTGTGGCCAGGGAGGGCAGTGGAGGATGGCCCAGGTGCTTGGGCCCTGCACCCCATGGGAGACCAGGAAAAGCACCTGGCTCCTGGCTCCTGCCATCAGATCAGCACGGTGCGCCGGCTGCAGCGCGCCAGCTGCGGCGGCCATTGGAGGGTGAACCAACGGCAACAGAAGACCTTTCTCTCTGTCTCTCTCTCTCACTGTCCACTCTGCCTGTCAAAAAAAAAAAAATGATACAATCGAGTAATATTCAGCCATAAAAAAGGATAAAATTTTGTCTTTATAACATAGATGAAACCAAAGAACAGTATGTTAAAGTAAAGTAAGCCATACACAGAAAGAAAAATACTGCAAGATCTCACTCATATGTGGAATCTAAGACAGTTGATCTCATCGTAAGTGAGCGTAGAACAGTGGTTACCAGAGATTGAGACTAGGTTGGTCAACAGGTACTCAGTTACAGCTGCATTGGAGGAATAAATTCTGGGTGTTCTATTGCACAGTAGAATAACTATAGGTGATGACAACATACTAAATATTTCAAAAAAGCTAGTAGACGCCGGCGCCGCGGCTCACTAGGCCAATCCTCTGCCTTGCGGCGCCGGCACACTGGGTCCTAGTCCCGGTTGGGGCACCGGATTCTGTCCCGGTTGCCCCTCTTCCAGGCCAGCTCTCTGCTGTGGCCAAGGAGTGCAGTGGAGGATGGCCCAAGTCCTTGGGCCCTGCACCCCATGGGAGACCAGGATAAGTACCTGGCTCCTGCCATCAGATCAGCGTGGTGCAGCGGCCGCAGCACGCCAGCCTTGGCGGCCATTGGAGGGTGAACCAACGGCAAAGGAAGACCTTTCTCTCTGTCTCTCTCTCTCACTGTCCACTCTGCCTGTCAAAAAAAAAAAAAGCTAGTAGAAAAAAATTAATATTCTCACCATAAATGAATGATAAATGCTTGAGAAGCTAGACATATGAAGCCTGATTTGAAGATTATGTAATGTGTAACAGTGAAATATCTCATGGTATCCCATAAATACATGCAATTTCAAAGTGTCAATTAGAAAATTTTTAAATATAACATTTTGATACCTCTCTAAATTAACAAAGGATTCCTATTTGTGTTGAATGTACTCATTAAGGCAGTGCACAACTCCATGCTGCCTTGGTATCTGATATGAGGCCAAATACAATCCAAGAGCAGTGAAGCAGAACAGAGTAGTCACATATCTGGAATTTTTTTCTCCCAAAAGACCACTACTGTTACCTCTATATAACCTTATAAGCTTCAATTAAAACTCCTGAATTAAATTTTTAAATATTCTAGGCCCATATAGATATTGCTTTAGTCAAATTAAGATTCCAGGAATAGATATAAATTTCCCATGGTATCCAAGATTGATTCTGACTGTGTCTCTATCACTGCAGTGAAAAAAAGCTGAACCACCACATTTCAAAAATAGCATCCAGGACCACCAGAATGAATTGCTCTGCTATGAACATGTCTAAAAAGGAAGAGGTATCGTCTCAGAAACAAAAACACCTTTTACATGTATCAGAAAATATACCTTACCTTTTCTGACAAATAATATGAGAAACCATTTTATAGCATACATTTTTTTCTCTAAATTTCACTTTCACCACATGATTCAAAATAAATGCCATTCAAATGTAAATAAAGTTGTTTAATTTAATATCTTACTTGATTGTAAGATTACTGTCCTGCATTATAGGTGAAGAAGCAGGCTTATGGCACAGTGCTGGTGCAAAACAGAGATAAACTGAGTGAATCAATACATCAGTCAGCGAATTGATTTTAATTGACTTGCCCAAGCTTGAATAGTTGAAATCATCGCATTTGAACCTACAGCTTTGGTTCTCTCTTCTTTCTCCTGCATCACCCTCACTCTACTCTTATTGTAACTGACACCAGATTCTTTGGCTAACTTGCAAATACAAATTGCTAAGAGGAAAATGTGCAGCCCAGATAATGTTTAGTGGGGCTTGTACTCGAGCTAGAAAGAAACTGACAAGTGCTTTTTTATTGTGGTGCTTCAACCCACTTAAGAAATGGGCCAAGGACCTCAATAGACATTTTTCAAAAGAGGAAATCCAAATGGCCAACAGGCACATGAAAAAATGTCCAGGATCACTAGCAATCAGGGAAATGCAAATCAAAACCACAATGAGAGTTACCTCACCCCAGTTAGAATGGCTCACATACAGAAATCTACCAACAGATGCTGGCGAGGATGTGGGGGAAAAGGGACACTAATCCACTGTTGGTGGGAATGCAAACTGGTAAAGCCACTATGGAAGTCAGTCTGGAGAGTCCTCAGAAACCTGAATATAACCCTACCATACAACCCGCCATCCCACTCCTTGGAATTTACCCAAAGGAAATTAAATTGGCAAATAAAAGAGCTGTCTGTGCTCAATGTTTATTGCAGCTCAATTCACAATAGCTAAGACCTGGAGTCAACCTAAATGCCCATCAACAGTAGACTGGATAAAGAAATTATGGGACATGTACTCTACAGAATACTATACAGCAGTAAAAAACAATGAAATCCAGTCATTTGCAACAAAATGGAGGAATCTGGAACACATCATGCTGAGAAATAAGCCAGTCCCAAAGGGACAAATATCATATGTTCTCCCTGATAGGTGACAACTAACCAAGCACCAAAAAGGAAACCTGTTGAAGTGAAATGGACACTATGAGAAACAATGACTTGATCAGCCCTTGCCCTGACTGTTGATGAACAACTTAATACTTTGTCCCTTTTAGTATTTTAGTTCAACTATTGGTTGAACTCTGTAATTAACACACAATTATTCTTAAGTGTTGAAACTTAACTGAAAAGTGATCCCTGTTAAATATAAGAGTGGGAATAAGAGAAGGAGGAGATATACAATTTGGGACATGCTCGATCTGACTTGCCCCAAACAGTAGAGTTAGAAAAGTGCCAGGGGATTCCAATTCAATCCCATTAAGGTGGCATGTACCAATGCCATCTCACTAGTCAAAGTGATCAATTTCAGGTCACAACTGACCATATTGATAGGTCTAACAGTCAAAGGGATCACATAAACAAGACTAATGTCTGCTAATACTATCTGATAGAATTAAGAAGGAGAGAACGATCCAACATGGGAAGCAGGATACACAGCAGACTCATAGAATGGCAGATGCCCTAAACAACACTCTGGCCTCAGAATCAGCCCTTAAGGCATGCGGATCCGGCTAAAAAGCCCATGAGAGTATTTCAGGCATGGAAAGTCAAGACACTCTGGCAAAAAAAAAAAAAAAAAAAAAAAAAAAAAAAAAAAAAAAAAAAAAAAAAAAAAACCACCCCCCCTAAATGAAAGATCTCTGCAAGTGAGATCCCAGTGGAAAGAACGGGGCCATCAAAGAAGGAGGTACCTTTCTCTGAAGGGAGGAGAGAACTTCCACTTTGACTATGACCTTGTCTAAAAAAGATCAGAGTTGGCGAACTCAAAGAGCTTCCATAGCCTTGGCAACTCATGACAAGAGCCTAGGGTGATTACTGACACCATAAACAAGAGTGTCAATTTGTTAAGTTAACAACAGGAGTCACTGTGCACTTACTCCTCATGTAGGATCTCTGTCCTTAATGTGATGTATAATGTGAATTAATGCTGTAACTAGTACTGGAACAGTACTTTACACTTTGTGTTTCATTGTGGGTGCAAACTGTTGAAATCCTTACTTAATATATACTAAATTGATCCTCTGTATATAAAGATAATTGAAAATGAATCTTGATGTGCATGTAATGGGAGAGGGAGCGGGAGATGGGAGGGTTGCGGGTGGGAGGGAAGTTATGGGGGGAAAAAAGCCATTATAATCCATAAGCTGTACTTTGGAAATTTATATTTATTAAATAAAAGTTTAAAAAAAACAATCAAATCACAAGATATCCATTTCATTCCTACCCATTTATTTCTGTTCTATATTAACTGCCACATATCAGAGTAAACATATAATATTTTGGTTGTTTTTTTTTTGGACTGGCTTATTTCACTAAGCATAATGGCTCCCAGATGCATCCATTTTGCTGCAAAAGACAGGATTTCTTTTTTTTTTTTTTAATCACTGAGTAGTATTTCATACTGTATATATACCATATTTGCTTTACTAAATCACCAATTGATAGACATCAGGGTTGACTCCGCATCTTGACTATTGTGAATTAAACTGCAATAAACAGTTCCTTTTCGAGGGTGGCGGCCATCGCGGACGGAGCGCCACGAAGGCTTCGGGCACACTGCGGGAGTACAAGGTGGTGGGCCGCTGCCTGTCCAAGAGCCCCGCGCCGCCGCTCTACCGCATGCGCATCTTCGCGCCCAACCACGTGGTGGCCAAGTCGCGCTTCTGGTACTTCGTGTTGGAGCTGAAGAAGATGAAGAAGTCGTCGGGCGAGATCGTGTACTGCGGGCAGGTCTTCGAGAAGTCGCCGCTGCGCGTGAAGAACTTCGGCATCTGGCTGCGCTACGACTCACGCAGCGGCACGCACAACATGTACCACGAGTACCGCGACCTCATCATGGCCAGCGCCGTCACGCAGTGCTACCGCGACATGGGCGCCCGGCACCGCGCGCGCGCGCACTCGATCCAGGTGATGAAGGTGGAGGAGATGGCGGCGGCGCGCTGCCCGCGGCCGGCTGTGAAGCAGTTCCACGACTCGCGCATCCGCTTCCCGCTCCCGCACCGCGTGCTGCGGCGCCAGCACAAGCCGCGCTTCTACGCCAAGAGGCCCAACACCTTTTAGGCCTGCGCCCCAATAAACGCCCGCAACCTGAAAAAAAAAAAAAAAACTGCAATAAACATGAGGTTACAAATAACTCTTTCATATGCTGATTGCATTTCATTTGGGTAAATTCCCAGGAGTGTGATGGCTGGGTCATATGGTAGGTCTATGTTGAGATTTCTAAAGTATCTCCGTACTGTCTTCCACAGTGGCTGCACCAGCTTACATTCCAACCAACAGTGGATTAGGGTATTTTTTTCCCACGTGCTCAACAGAATTTATTGTTTTTTGATTTCTGTATGATAGCCATTATAACTGGGGTGAGGTGAAACCTCATTGTGCTTTCAATTTACATTTCCCTGATGGCTAGTAACCCTGAGCATTTTTTCAAGTGTCTGTTGGCCATTTGGACTTCATTCTTTGAAAAATTCCTATTCATGTCATTTACCCATTTCTTAACTGGATTGTTTTGTTGTTGATGAGCTTCTTTTTCTAAGATTTGTTTCATTTATTCAAAAGGCAGATTTACAGAGAGAAAGAGAGAGAGAGAGAGAGAGAGAGAGAGAGAGATTTTCCATCTGCTAGTTCACTCCCCAAATGGCTGCAACAATTGTCGGGACTAGGCCATGCAGAAACCAGGAACCAGGAGCTTCTAATGGATCTCCCACATGCACTCAGGGATGCAAGGTTTGGGCCATCTTCTGCAGCTTTCCCAGATGCATTAGCAGGGAGCTGGATCAGAAGTGGAGCAGCAAAGACCTTAATGGGCAGTCAAATAGGATACCAGCACACAGGCTGTGGCTTAACCCGCTATGCCACAGTGCTGGCCCTTGTTGAATTTCTTGAGCTTTTTTAAGATCCTGGATATGAATCCTTAATCAGTTGCATAGTTTACAAATATTTTCTCCCATTCTGTCAGTTGCCTCTTCACTTTGTTGTTTCCTTTGCAGAAACTTGTTAGCTTGATATAAGCCCGTTTGTCTATTTTTGCTCTTATTGTCTGTGCTTCTGGGGTCTTTTTGAAGTGTTTGCCTATGCCAATGTCTTGCAGAATTTCCCCCAGTGTTTTCCTCTAGTAATTTGATAATATCAGGTCATAGATGTAGACCCTTGATCTATTGTGAGTTGATGTATGTATAAGGTATAAGATAAGGTTCTCACTTCATACTTCTGCACACAGAAATCCAGTTTTCCCAGAACCATTTGTTGAAGAGACTGACCTTTCTCCAGGGATTAATCTTAGGTCCTTTGTCTATGATCAGCTTGTTGTAAGTGTGTGGATTAATTTCTGGGATATCTATTCTGTTCCATTGGTCTATATGTCTGTTTTTTGTTCCAGTACCAAGCTGTTTTGATTATAACTCCCCTGTAGTATGTCTGGAAAACAGGTATTGTGATAAGTTCGGCATTGCTTTTGCTGTTTAAGATTGCTTTATCACTGGTTTTTCTAGATCTGAGAAGATTATCCTTTGTGTTTTGATAGGGATCACAATGAATCTGTAAATTGCTTTTGGTAGTATGGACATTTTGATGACATTAATTCTCCCAATCCATGAACATGGAAAATTTTTCCATTTTTTGTGTCGTCTTCTATTTTTTTCTCTACTGTTTTGTAATTTTCATTGTAAAAATCTCTCACATCCTTGGTTAAATTTATTCCAAGGTCTTTAACATTTTTTGTAGGTATTGTGAATGGGTGAATGGTACTGATCTTACAAGTAATTCTCAGTCATGGTATTGTTTGTGTATACAATGCCTATTATATCCTACAACTTTACCAAACCCTCTTGTGAGTTCTAATAGTCTTGCAGTGAAGTGCTTTTGTTCCCCTATAAGTAGGATCATGTCATCTGCATACAGGGATAATTTGATTTCTTCCTTTCCAATTTGTATCTCTTTGGTTTCTTTTTCTGGCCTAATGTCTCTGGCTAAAACTTCCAGAACTATATTAAATAGCAGTAGTGAAAGTGGGTAACCTCTGGTTCTGGATCTTAGTGGAAATGCTTCCAACTTTTCCCCATTGATATGATGCTGGCTGTGGTTTTGTCATAAATTGCCTTGATTGTATTGAGGAATATTCCTTCTGTACCCAATTTGCTTGAGATTTTCTTCATGAAAGGGTGCTCTATTTTATCAAATCCTTTCTCTGCATCTATTAAGATAATCATATGATTTTTATTCTTCAATTTGTTAATGTGATGTATCACATCTATTGATTTGTATATGTTGAACCATCCCTGCATACCAGAGATAAATCCCACTTGCTATAGGTGAATGATCTTTCTGATGTGCTGTTTGATTCTATTAGATAGTATTTTGATGAGGATTTTTGCGTCTATGCTCATCAGGGATATTGGTCTACAGTTTTCTTTCTTTGTTGTATCTTTTTCTGGTTTGGGAGTTAAGGTGATGCTGGTCTCATAGAAGGAATTTGGGGGATATCCCATCCCTTTCAATAATTTTGAACAGCTGGAGAAGAATTGGAATTATTTCTACTTTAAAAGTTTGGTAGAGGGGCCGGTGCTGTGGAGCAGTAGGTTAATCCTCCACCTGCAGTGCTGGCATCCCATATGAGCACTGGTTCTAGTCCTGGCAGCTCCTCTTCCAATCCAGCTCTCTGCTGTGGCCCGGGAGTGCAGTGGAGGTTGGCCCAAGTGCCATCTTGGGAGACTGGGAAGAAGCACCAGGTTCCTGGCTTCAGATTGGCACAGCTCTGGCGGTTGTGGCTATTTGGGGAGTAAACCAATGGAAGGAAGACCTTTTCTCTCTGTCTCTCCCTCTCACTGTCTGTAACTCTACCTCTCAAATAAATAAATACAATATTTTTAAAAAAAAAAAAAAGCTTGGTAGAATTAAATAGTGAGGCCATCTGGTCCTGGGCTTTTACTTGTTGGGAGGGTCTTTATCACTGAGTCAATCTCCACCTTAGTTTTTGGCTACTTAGGTTTTCTGTTGCCATGACTCAATTTTGGCAGATTGCATGTGATCAGAAATCTATCCATTTCTTTTAGATTTTCCAATTTGCTGGCATACTGCTATAATAATTAGTGATGATTCCTTTTATTTATGTGGTATCTATTATAACATCTACTTTTACATCTCTGATTTTATTAATTTGGTCCCCCTCCCCCGCTTTTTTTTTGTTAGTTGGACCATTGGTATGGTGTATGAATTTTGTTTATTTTTTCAAAAAACCAGCTCTTCATTTCACTGATCTTTTGCATCTTTTTTTGTTCCAATTTTGTTTTTTTCTTAATTTTCATTTCCTCCTACGAATTTCAGGATTGTTTGTTCTTGTTTTTCTGAGTCCTTGAGATCCCGTAAGTTTTGATATCTTGTGTCATCATCTTCATTCATTTCTCTCTCTCTCTTTTTTTTTTTTTTTATGGACAGGCAGAGTTAGACAATGAGAGAGAGACAGAGAGAAAGGTCTTCCTTTTTCTGTTGGTTCACCCCCCAACTGACCACTAGGGCTGGTGTTGCGCTGATCCAAAGCCAGAAGCCAGGTGCTTCCTCCTGGTCTCCCATGAGGGTGCAGGGCCCAAGGACCTGGGCCAACCTCCACTGCACTCCTGGGCCACAGCAGAGAGCTGGACTGGAAGAGGAGCAACTGGGACAGAATCCGGCACTCCAACTGGGACTAGAACCCAGGATGCTGGCACCGCAGGCGGAGGATTATCCTATTGAGCCGCGGCGCCGGCCCATCTTCATTCATTTCTAAGAATTGTTTGATTTCTCTTTTGATTTGTCCTATGATCCACTGTTCATTCAAGAACATCTTATCTTGTTCAGTCTCCATATGTTTGCATATTTTCTAGAGTTTCTTTTTTTTTTAAGATTTATTTATTTATTTGAAAGTCAAAGTTACACAGAGAGAGAAGGAGAGGCAGAGAGAGACAGGTCTTCCATCCACTAGTTCACTCCCCAGATGGCTGCAACAACTGGAGCTGCGCAGATCCGAAACCAGGAGCCAGGAGCTTCCTCCGGGTCTCCCACATGGGTGCAGGGTCCCAAGGACTTGGGCCATCTTCTGCTGCTTTCCCAGGCCATAGCAGAGAGCTGGATCAGAAGTGGAGCAGCCGGGTCTTGAACCAGCACCCATATGGGATGCTGGCACTTCAGGCCAGGGCATTAACCCACCGCACCAGAGCGCCAGCCCCTAGAGTTTCTTAAATTGTTAATTTCCATCTCCATTCCATTGTTATCATATAAGATACGTGGTATGATTTCAATTTTTTGAATTTGTTGAAACTTGCTTTATGCCCTAGCGTATGGTCTATTTTTGTCTCTCTCTGTCTCTGTTCCCTGGATATGCACCAAAGAAGTTTAAAATCTTACATTTCAAAACATATTGTTCCCTTGTTCCATTTCTGCATCTTTTCTCATTGTTAAGAATCTCAACATATCACATGTAGCTGTGCAGTTGTGGGTATATGAAGGAGGTAGGGGTTGTAATTTGGCAGCAATTGCTTTAGAGATCAACAAGATATGTTATGCAGATTGTTGGCTCTTCCTCAGAAAGATATAGTGTAGGAGGAAAAATACAGCACTCACAGAATAAAGAGGCTTCATTCCCTTTACCAAAGAGGAAAGTTTCTTCAAATATCAGAAGATTCCAGTTGACAGCCCACTTTTGTCAGACTATGGCTAGAACTCAGATTATAATATTATGACATTGGGCAGAGAGAGGAAAGAGTGTTAGCTTGCTGAAGAATAGAAGGACCACTCAACATACCAAAAGGTCCACATTTTAGACTTTTCCCTAGTATTTTATGTATAAACACAAAGCAAGCTCTGAGAAAACAATAAAGTATAAATACAGCCTTACCTCTGCCTTGCATTACTTCACAAGCCGATGACCCATTTTCTCATGCATTGAGATCAGAGGAAGCCAAACAGTATTGTATTACCCAACGAGATTAAAAATTCTAGAAGCTCCTCCACTTATAATGGAACTACAAACTGATAAACCAGACATAGGCTGAAAATATTGTAAGTTGAAAACACATTTAACACACCTAACCTATCAAATATTCTAGCTTAGTCTAAGCCTATCTGTGCATGCTC